TGCCGCAAAGTCACTGCTCACGGTCACCTGCTAAATTATCTGTCTTTTTGCTTAGAGTGGAATTTGGAGAGGTAAGAAAAACTATGCATGGGCATTTAGGAATGAAAACATTTCATAATTCACCTGATTTGGTTCATTCATCCAAAGGAATATATTGCAAAGACAATTCAAAGTTATATGAGAAAAAATATAGTATCAAATGATATCAAATAAGCAAAGATCATATTTACTTTTATTATAATTTTTAAGAAACGTTTTGTTTTCAAATAGAATGTTTATATTAAGAACAACTTACTATGTGTAGACTCCTCCTTGGTACTTTCAGCATACAAGAAATGTCGTCAATAATGTTGTCCACCACAGTCTGATTACCAAAGAGTTGGCTGTCGGTGTAATAGATGTCTCTACAAAAATTTAAAATATACATTGTTTTTAAATTTTTTTATTATTTATTTTATTCGGTACCTGGGATTGAACTCAAGACCTTGCACTTGCGAGGGAGGTGGTGGAAACACTGAGCTAAATCCCCGGCTCTAAAATATATACTGTTAATTAAGTATTCTGTGAATATGACAAGTATTAGAAATGCTATTTGGAGAAAGCTTTAACTGAATGAAACAGAATATATAAGGCAAATAATTCATCACCCCCCAGTTGGGTGGCTTTTCAAAGCATATAATGAAAGTTAATCTAATGAAATCTCACCTTTTATTTGAAGAGTAAATAGTTTACCAGAATAATATATTTACCTTTTGGTTGCATAAGTGTTGCTCTGTACTAACTTATAAATCATGGATAATATTTTAAGAATTAGAGCTGAAAAATAAGAAGGAGTGATTTAGTTGCCACTTCTCACATTAATTCAAAGACATTGTTAGGAAGGATTTTAATGGTCCCCAGTTACTGCTCATAACATTTATGTTTTAAAACGTTCCAAAACAGAAAGCCTTAATACAGATTTTCCCAAGGGATTAGATAAAGTTAATTGCTGTTTTGACAGCAAAACAGAGAAAATAATGTTCTATTAAACCAGGTAAGTACATTTGTTGAGGAATGATCGTCTACCTTTATGGCATCAATAATGCAAAATTTTAGAAAATTAACGAGTTTCTGAGTGATCTATTAATGAAAAGGTCAACAACTAACTAGTAACAATTAAAATCTAAAAAGAACCAAATTTATTTATTTTTACTATTCAAAGCTAGGAAAGATTAATTTACCAAATTTTTGAACTGATTTTGGTGAATCACTTTTGATTTTTCTTGTGGTACAGTGGGAGACCATCTGAAGACCCACGGTGTCTTCAAACCTGTTGTTTTGTTTAAAGCAAAGGAATAAGATAAAAAAGACTTAGCTTCTGAATATCAAATGATCCACATTTCACCTTTATACAAACACTGACCCTTTAGGAACACCTGGCTTACAAACTTAGGTTGATCGTTTTAGGTTGTAATTAGGTAATCACCTTTGTGACACACAGTGGCTAGAATATTCACCCTTGATTTTAGAATGTGTGTGGGCATGTATAGCTTCTTGGGAAGACATTTAGGGTATGAGAAATGTTTCTACATTTCATAATTTTATTGGTATCTTACTCATTCTAGTAATTTCATTTAATATTTTGACCCAGTCTAATGAGTTTTGAAATATTTTATTTCTAATTCATTCACAAGGAAACATTACATAAAGCAACAACTTATATTAAGTTGTTAAATTGAACCACCAGCCCTCTCCTAAAGGTAGTGAGAAGGCATGAGGCAAAGATGCTAGATAGCAGCTGCTTCAAGATAGATAAAATCTATCTTGCAAAATATGATGCAAAAGTTGTTTGTATTAATTATATCGATCATAAAACTGTCCTTAGTGACTAAGGAGCCTCCTAATTCCTTTTATTCTATCGCCAAAGTATAAGAACTGTTCTAGTACTATTTTTTCATTATTCAGTAGAGAAGCTTTTGCAGGCTGTGGTTGGGGGATAAAACAACTGTACCACTAGGTTGGAGAATTTGGATGAAAACAGCTGAGCTAAGCTGGAGTAGATGAGGGCAGTGAACCCTGTGTTCAAAGTCTTTTACCTCTGCTTGGTTTTCATCTGGCTGTCCTGAGCATTCAGGCTTTTTTTGCAGTGTAGATGAGACTTGTACCCAAGGCATCTGCCCCTCCCAGTGCTGGAGGCTTAAAACCACACTTGGAATCTACTTCCAGCAAAAGCATACACAATTCTGACCTCTTTCAGTTTCAATTTTGTTGTTTTTGCTTTTGTTGCTAGTCTTTTTTCTTTGCGGTATCTTTCAAACCTACTTCTGTTTATACAACCTTCCTTATGTATATTTTATAAATTTCCTAAATCTTTTTTGGGAGAGTAAAGACAATAGAAACAATGGAATCTAAATAGTATTTGAACTCCAGTAAATTGGAATAACGAGATAGATACTGCATTTTAAAATAAAAACGCAAAGTGCCCACTTTATATTTTCCCAGCTTGATCTGTTGTCTATGATGAAGGCAGGTGCCTCATTTCTTGCCAAGCTTGTGACGATGTCTTGGATGATATTTTCTATAGATGCAAGAACCTCAGAACTGAAACAATAAACACACCATGATTCAACTTTAATTACAAAGTATGCCTTCGGAATATGTAACCTCTCCCCACATCAATGTAAAAACTTTTATTCGTGGGTTGTGTTTTAAGACTTGGGAGATTCAGGCAAGTAATAATCTCTTCCACTAAATCTTAACATCAGTCCTGCATTAAACCAATGGTGTTTACAGTGGTTACTAACAAAGAAATTGCATTTGCTTGTAACTTTGTCAACTTACCAATTGAAGTAATGGCTCCTTTATAGTAATGACTAGATAATATGACTTACAAAGACCTTTGCTTCTCATACTAACTTCCTTTACTCTAACTCAACTTAAATATAAACTTATTGGCTTGAAAAGCTGCTGATAAATGTTTTAATTAAAAATGATGTAATATTGGTTTCGAATTTCTTTCTCAAAAATGCAATGCAAAAAACACTTCAAAAGAAAAACTTCTTGTTGTAGCACATTGTCCTAATTGATCTCATGCCTCAAAATCTGCCTTTTTGAATTTTTAGTGATTAAAAATGGAAAAAAGTTTAATCACTACCATGAAAAGTGCAAATCATGAGTTCTGCTCTAAATGGTTGACTTGGCAACCCTTATACCGCTTTATAGCAAAATATTAAAGCCGAGGCTAGTTTTCTGCCAGCAGTCTTTTAATTTCACAAGCCATCAGTTAAAAAATTTTTGTTACCATTAGCATGTTGTCTAGAAAGGGAAATCAAATTAAATCTAGAAAATAGGCAAAATATGCTTTAATTTCCACAACTTGAGTTTTTAGTTAAAACTTGTGCATCAGAAAATGAAAATTTGTGCATCAGAAAATGAATTTTCAAACATTTAACATTTTCTAATGAGAGAGGAACCAACCCAAATATTTCATTTTTTCCCCTACCCTAGTTTGGGAAAGGAAGTTGCAGGATAATACTGCAACCAACATATAATCAGATTAATTTACATAGGTAGTGTAGATGAGGGATTTCTCACTGCCTCCTTTTTTCTCATCCTCCTAAATTCACCTTCAAACTAAATCCTTTTGTAAAAATTTGTTTTCTTATGGGATTTTTGGTAGTTGGTTTCAGCTTAAAAATGAGATGGTAATTACTGAGAAATAAGAAAAACAGATAATGCTGCAAAACAACAGAGCATTTTAAATAAAAGAAGCCAGTCACGTCAACCTATTTTCTGTAGCTAATTCCAAATTTGAGAGCTGCAGCCTCTGCAGCTGATTTTAAAGAACTCATTTAAAATATGGGCATTGTCTCCAAGGCAAGAAAACCGTTATCTTATTACAATCCACTTAAAATGTGATGTCCTTGTTAATTTTGAGAAAATCATTAGCTCACTAAGTGTAAACTCATAGGATTCATTTCTCACTTTCCTCTCTTCCCCTACTAAAAAAAAAGCCTTGAGAGCTTTTTAAGTTAAACATTAAAACAAACAAACAAATCCACAAATACAGGGCTGGGGATGTAGCTCAGCGGTGCTGCACTTGCCTGGCGTGCGCAAGGGCCTGAGTCTGATTTCCGGTAGCAAAACAAAATAAATACATGACCAAATTGTGACCCAAACTCCCTGACTTGTAAGAACCTCGGGGGAACCTACGAGCCTCCTGGAAGATTCTAGAAGGGGAATATTCTAGAAGCTAGTGGGGTGCTGTCGCCAGACCTCACGAACTCAAAATAAGGTTAAAAGTGGGGAGGTGGCCAGGGACTCTAGGAAGGGCCTTTTCTATTGATCAGAGCCGCCCACCACGGCAAAGGACACCGACTTTCTCCTCAGAGCAGCCGCCAGGTCCCTCCTCCCCAACATCCTACGGGGTTCCGGTACCTAGAGGCCGTACGAGTCCTTTGGACAGGCGGCTCCTGGCCGCCTCTACTCAGGGCGGCCAACAGGGAAGCTCTATGCCGGTCGAGGACCTCAAAGAAGGAGGCCTTGGCACCCATGGGTGCAAAAGCCATGAGGGCAGAGAGCAGGGCGAAACTCCCTGGAAGGCACAAACCTATGCCGCACCTTGCGGCTGGGCGGGGCCTGGCGCATGCGCACACTGCAGGACCTGCGCAGCTGGGCGACGCATGCGTGTGGCACGAGGTGTCCTGGGGCGCGCGGGGTTATTTCCGGTGTGCGCTACCTGTGAAGCGAGAGGTGAGTGCTTCCCTGGGCTCGTGTCTGGCGACCTTGGGAATCTGGGGAGCTGAGCTGAGATTTCCGTATTATTTTGTGAGTTCCAGAG